TTAATTCTCATTTTTCAACTGCACTGCGCAACTGCAAAATGTCTTTTTAAGCTTCAAAGATTAAACCCGCGATCAGATCTTCCGGGTAATAGGGCTCAAATAGAGATATCAATATTTCAAAAAAAGTCAATGGTGGGGAAAAACAGAAGAGAATAGTCGTCAGTACCCCAAATAATACTCTCTTGCTAGCACATTTGCATGAGCAGCAGAGGATGAGAAAAGGGTGTAATGGGGCTAGATCACCGAACAGTGGTGTTGTAGTCGAGATGGCTGCCGCTATTAATCCCAGCTGTCTCTATTTGATAACACAGTTCTTTCTATGCCTCTGACGAGTCTTCTGACACTATGGCCGGGTAGAGCGGCGGGCGGAGTCAATGAAGGTGGGCTGGGCCAGCAAGGGGAAAGAACGCTCTCATAACTCGTTTCGCGCCGCAAAATGGTGCGAGCGCTACCACTGCGGACCAAGCTAACTGCTCGCGGAGAAAGGGAATTTTGCTTCTGAGTGAAGTGCAGCTGGTGCACCCATTCACCCATGGAGGACCTCTCCCGGACCATGTGGGTCCCTCCATGAATTCGATGTCAGGTCTGTCCCAGAGGATAAAATATTGCATCCGAGCCTTCACAATGTTAGCCAATTCTGGAGTTGGATGGAAGTCGAGAGCATTGCGTCCCTTTGAACACTGGTTTCTATTGATTACCCTGAAATCATGGGTAATCTGTTCATGGTCCAGCTATGACGCTGACATCTTCATCTGTTATGGGAATGATACTTCTCGTTCCATGTTATCAACATGTTTCCAATTTGTCCCCCTCAATTTCTCCTTATTCTGGAGACGCATTTGTGTGCCAAGCAATCTCATAAAGTTACAGGGTGGTGTTTTGTACTGTGAAGCCAACGTCTACATGTGGAAATGAATGGTTCGAAAGAAACGTTCACTGCTTGTAACACAGCGATGTAGATAGCATGTGAAGCACCTTTGCCTTTGTGAAGATGTGGAACGTTAGGGTTATGGGCCGTACGGCAAGAGCGGCCTCACCTACACGGACTTCTCACCGAGACGTAATTGATTCAACAGGAATGTACTGCGGTATGGCAAGGCAACTAGCTAAGAGAACTCAAATTTGGCGTTCGTCATATGCGTGTACCGTTTGTTTGTTCGCTGGATTGGGTTGTAAGGGGGGACGTGTTGTTGTTGTTGTTCAGGCCCCGGTTTCTTTTCCTATTCTTTTAAGGACACAGACTGCACATACTCGTAAACGTATGAGTCGTTTTTTCACCTACTCTTTCATCCGCTTCCGTCTTCAACAACTGGGTTGCAACGGGCTGGCGGCACGTCACATCTGTCTCACTGAGCACGACCCTCAGCTAGCCAGCGAACAAGACTGATGTCACGTCCCTCTGGCCTTTTGCGTCCTAAGTACAGGGCTAACGCTCGCATACTTTTCATAACACGAGTAGCTCCATCGCTTACCAAGAAGCGTGGCTGTAATGTCACTGCGAGACCACTGATCCATCTTTTCAACCCTGAACGCCTTTAAACGGCGATTTATGATCCCACTAAAGTAAGTGTTCAGATCACAGTAACGAAGAAAGTCGATTATTATGCTGCTATCAGCCACTAATCTATGATAAAGCATCTTGTACCAGATTGGGAAGCCTCCAAAAACTGATAAGTGTTCAAAAGCTGTAGGCATATGACTGTCCGATTATTCGAGAGTTCAAGGATTGGGTCAGTAAAAAAAGGATGACAGAGAGCAAGGGATTTTCCGATGCTCTATGATGTTTGGTGCTGGGCAGGTCTTGCAACTGGGTCCAGCAATTACTTCCACATTCAAGAGCTCGCCAAGTTCGACCGGGCCAGGCTCGTGGCATAGCTAGCTGAGGGCGTGACAACTACTGCAATGAGGAATATGGCATAGGCCCAAAGTAGGTCCAATTATGTTTTGAAGTTCGTGGAAAATCAAGCGTCGTTTGGCTACAAAGCTCCCTCCTCCGTTGTCGATACCTCCACTCCCACCAAAATGACTCATGATGTCGTGTGCGTTGGTGGTACATACCTCTCTCTACTGAAGTCCCCTTCATCGTTAGTCTCTTAAATGCTAGTGGGGCGCTGTATAGTGGGGAAATGGCGAAAGAACGGAGTGAAACGGTCAAAATCCTGCGAAGAAAAAGCCTCCGTTCTCAGTGACTTGTAAATCGATTTCGGACGAGTTTCCCGTAGGCATCTTGCCAATCCGCTACCGAAGATACGGCTGCATATGTGTACCCATGTATGCATGCAGCATCACGGCCGCTTCATACCAATCCCTTCGCTTCATAATTTGCTTAGCAAATGAATGAATACGAGCGTCAGGAACGGTCGTCCATTTGTGGGCGGGCGGGCGTGGCGGGCGTTTGGGACGAAGTTGTGGCTTGATAGGGCCCTTATAAGGGCACCTTCCCCACCCCTCGGGGGGTAACGAACGCAGTGCAGCGCCTGTCCAGGTCCGAGATTCTCTAGCTCTACGAGTATGATCCTAGTCGTCTTGGAGGATTTATCGTGGCCAGCCTGCTTTGATAACATGCTAGTTTTCGTCATCGATGTTTGCCAACTCCCCAATAAGCTAAAGGTGAAAGCCTGGCTTTAGCAAGTTTGGACGTTAGCGCTACATTTTATATCCCAGTGGTTTGAGGCACCTTTGAACTTAATCTTGTTGGTTAATGTGTGGCGTTTTAGAAGATTAATGCTGCGAAGGCATGCAGGAAACAGTAGCAAGCATTTCTTGCTAGTTGACTCAAAAACAGCATCCACATCAAAAAACACCTTCGGGTAGAGCCTGGCATTTGGGAGGGGATGACGTCCTTGGTGACATCTCTTTCTTTTCCTCGCCTTCTATGACGGCGGGAAGAGATGGCCTCTCTATCGGCAATCCTGAAAGGACAGGAACCACTTGGGTCTCTATGCGATCAATCAAATGGTACTCAGCAAAGCTTGTATAGGCCACCTTGCCTGCCTTGCATGGCTGCATAGAGTAGCTGGGATGTCCCAGCAGCTCTTATCATAGAGCATGTACAAAATTTCCTGCCCCAAATCCAGTGAGAGGCGCCAGTAAGGGGTCGAATGGCTGAGGGGCTAAGAAAAAACGCTCGCATCGTGCCAAACGAGCCCGACTTTTGAGAATCCCGAGCGTGGCGGTACTGGTAGAGGAGGAGGGAGGGGGTCGTATTTAGTCCGAGAAAATTTTTTTGATATTCAATTTTTCTTGTTTCACGGACGCTAGAAGGCGAATGGGATCCTATTCGCTAGTCGTTGGGAGGGCGAGACCAAAGTTCTATACAAGAGCTATTGCTGATAGTTGAAATATCAGATACTATCAGAAAGGTTACTGAAGCGCGGGATGTGCCTCGAACTTTTTCTTTATTCTCGAGTTCAGGATATTTGTACTCAAAGCATAAGTCATATGCACACAACGAGAACAATTACACATCAAAATATCAGGCTACTCTAATAAAGATAAGGAGAATGTTGGTGTGAAGGCGACATGGCAACGATTTTGGAACAGCCTGGCAGGCCTAGTCACATCCTAAATGTTTTATAGCGGTAAGGTCCAAAACTCCGCCTCTGGACAGTCTTCACAAAAAAGTGAACGATCTTTGTGCAGTCGTCGACAGCATCACGCTTTTCTCAACCGTCAATATGTACGGGGTTGATGTTGGCACTGAAAGCGAAAAAATAGGCCGCAATAGTATCACGCCATTTTCACAGGCCCTCCCATAGCGACTGCCTAAACTGTACCAAAGGGCGTTTCGGGTTAAATGTATGTTGATCAGTGCTGGGTGCTCAAAAAGAACTAGTCGCCCAGTGAAATATTCTTCTATCGGAGTAGGTGTGCTAGTTGTAAGAAACATTGAAAAAGTCATCGTGAGTCCGCTGTCTTTTTGCCTCTGTACACAAACCGACTGTAGCTAATCGGAGGTTTTCGCTCTTCCTAAGCCTCCTGACAGGACCTCACTGAAAAACTTCTGTGGGCTGATAGAAAAACGTTGTTAGACTTCTCCTAAGCCGACACACTTTGGTTGAGAAGAAGGATAGAAAGAGATTGCGATTGTGTGGCGAAGAACCATACTATGGCACCAGAGCTTGTCGTATGCTAAGGAGTCCCCAGCGAGGGTTGCATTAGGTCGCTG